GCACAGGAGGTACTGGAGGTACTACTGGTGCTGGAGGCGCTGGAGCTGGAGCTGGAGGCACTGGAGGTGCTGGAGGTACTACTGGTGCTCGAGGTGCTGGCGCTGTCGGAGCTCGTGGTGCTGGAGGTGCTGGTGCTACTGGTGCTGGAGGTCTTGCTGGGGGTACTGGAGGAGCTGCTCGTGCTGGAGGTACGGGAGCTACTGGTGCTCTTCGCCACCTTCTCAGTCTTCCGCCAGGTGCTACTGGCTTCCCTGTGGCAGGTACTACTCCTCCGTTGCTGTGTCCGCCAGCGGACCAGTCACAGCCACCGCTGCTACCACACTCCCCACTGCCTGCTCCTGCTCCTTACACTGCGGTGTCAGAGTCCCTGACTGAGCGTCGAGAGCCTGAGACTCGTGCTTCCACCCCTGAGCGTCGAGAGCCTGAGTCTAGCTTTGACCTTGAGCCTGAGCCTAGAGCTGCTGTCCGTGCTCGTGTTCCTCGTGTTCATCGTCCGCGTGCTCCGGCTGTCCCCGGCACTCACGATATGACACTCCGTCCTTCCTCTGTTCCTCAGCGTGTTGTACTACCGTTACCTCCTGCGTCCTCTCTGCCTGACGTTGCTGACCCTCCGTCAGACCTTGCTCGTGCGTCCAGTCCGACTGTTACTCGCCTTCTTGCTACGGTTGTGACGGACCCTACGTTCTCGTCTCCTGCTGCGTCTGCCCTAGTAGCTGAGCTTGTTGACTTTGCTGCTGTGTACCGCCTAGACTACCTTGCGAGTCTTGTCTCTGACCCTGTCCCTGCCTGTCCTCCGTCCGTCGGGGGTGAGACGGCTCTTGGCTGTACTGCCCTTGGCTGTGACGTTCTTGAGGACAGACAGGAGGAGCTGGAGTGCCTTGCTGCCGCTTCACCCCATCACGCGACCATGCTGCTTGCCCCTGAGGGAGACCCGGATGCACTTGACATCCCCACCCCGCGCTCCTACAGGGAGGCGATTTCGGGTGAGTACTCCTCTCAGTGGCAGACAGCCATGGACGCAGAGATGGCTTCCTGGAAGTCCACAGGCACCTACGTCGACGAGGTTCCCCCACCTGGGGCGAACATCGTCAGTGGCATGTGGATTTTCAAGGTGAAGCGGCCGCCGGGTTCTCCGCCTGCCTTCAAGGCACGTTACGTTGCTCGAGGCTTCAGTCAGCGTGAGGGGGTCGACTTCTTTCAGACCTTCTCCCCCACCCCGAAGATGACCACTCTTCGGGTGTTGCTACACGTTGCAGCTCAGCGTGACTACGAGCTGCACTCCCTCGACTTCTCGACAGCTTTCTTGCAGGGTAGCCTTCACGAGGCCATCTGGTTGCGCCGTCCACAGGGTTTCACTGGGTCGTTTCCTGAGGGTACCCAGTGGAGCCTACGGCGACCAGTGTACCGCCTGCGTCAGGCGCCCCGTGAGTGGCACGACACACTAAGGACGACACTTGCGGCTCTTGGGTTTGCTCCGTCGACTGCTGACCCGTCGCTGTTTCTACGCACCGACACTACTCTGCCGCCGTTCTACATCCTCGTGTACGTCGACGACTTGGTTTTTGCTACTGCTGACACTGAGGCACTGGCCCTAGTGAAGGTAGAGCTGCAGGAGAGACACACCTGCACTGACCTGGGTGAGCTGCGGAGCTATCTTGGCTTGCAGATCACCCGGGACAGACCACGGCGCACCATCACCCTCACTCAGTCACACATGGTGCACCAGGTCCTTCAGCGCTTCCGCTTCACTTGGTCCTCGGCACAGCCCACTCCTCTGTCTACCGGCCACTCGCTCTCAGCTCCACCTTCGGACGAGTCCGTAGAGCCGAGTGGTCCGTACCCAGAGCTTGTGGGTTGCCTCATGTACCTGATGACGTGCACACGACCTGACCTCGCGTACCCTCTCAGCCTCCTGGCTCGCTACGTGGCACCTGGTCGACACCGTAAGGTGCACTTTGATGCTGCGAAGAGGGTACTGCGTTACTTGTGCAGCACATCGGGCATGGGGCTCGTGCTTGGAGGACGGGGTTTGGTGGTCCTCACAGGACACTCTGACGCTTCTTGGGCCGACTAGTCCTTCAGTGTACATTCGAGCGATATCGGCTCGTCCCCTGACCATCATCCCTCGTTCCGCCTCGGCTCCGCCCGCCTGCGTAACCGTCGCCGTGTCCTGGCGATTCACCAATTTCGCGCTATGCCGTAGCCACGCTTCACAAGCGAGATGAGCGTAGGCTGCTGATGCCCTGCAGTAGCCGTCATAGGTAGAGGGGGGGGTAGTACTTGTGTTTCTAACTGCCAAACTTGACAACCAACAGAAAAGTGAATTGAACTACTCTGCCTTCAACCTAAATACAGCCGACAGAGAGTTTGCTCGAGGGTTTCGAAATGGTTGGGAGTTGGAGCTCTGAAACTGAGCTGAAACGGAGCTGGATCGGATTGGAGACAATCCGAGCAGCCAATCATGTGCAAGTGGGGTTTGCAATAAAATGTGATCGTAACCATCCATCGAAATGCTTTTATCGGACGGTCGTACTGGGTCTTTGGTTTGCTTTGGTTGGTTTGGTTGGTCAAAGGTTTGGTTTGGTTTGGTTTCAACAAAGCCGATTGGGAGTCTGTGGGTGTGGATGAGCAATCCGAACTGCCCACGTATACAGCAGTTGTGCAGAGGAGGGGGAGTCCCCAGACAGTGGGGAGTGTGATCGAGATACATTGTAGGGACTCCGTTCGATAGGTTGGAGATCCCGCGTACTGGGTGTCAAGTTGGAGATTGGAGGGAGTAGCGAGTCAGTAGCGAGTGTAGCCACAGTGCATCTCGAAATACATAGCACTCACTCCCACTGTCCAAACCACCCCCCCCAAAAAACAAATTTGGGATGTGGTAGACGTGGAGGCAGACTTGACCGGAGGCGTTGATGTCGCCCGTCCACCCACCCGCGGATCCGTTCAGCGCCGCGGCGAGAATCACTGCGCGGAGAGAAGGGTGGGGAGCGGCGGAGCGACGCGGAGAGATGGAGAGGAGAGAGGAGAGCGGAGTGGAGAGCAGATCGAGAAGTAGGAGTGGGTATTTTGTGTTATGAAGCTTAGCGGCGGTACGATGAAGCAACCTTGCCCAGCGTCATCATTCCTAGGCAAGCCTTCGCACGACGCGTACGCAGATTGAGAGTTCCGAGAATGTCACATGTCGAATTCTCGGCAGGCTCACACCATGATAATCACGCGAAACTATCTCGCAACTTGAAGCCTCTAACTCGGTAGGTTCCCGGCGTTAGTTTTCCCGGCGAGAGCTCCTCACCTGTCAGACTCCCGAGAGCCTCTGCCTGGTCAGGCTTGGGCAACGGGCAGGGGCTCGCGGGGGGTTGCGCCGTCGTGGTAGCTGCGCAGCACATGAAAATAAACAGATGGGATTTTAGAATCTGAAAGCAGGACCATCCCTTTTAAACGGATGGAAGATCAAGGTACTTGAGAAATTGTTTAGCTGGAATGGCACTTACCAAAGCTTGCGGTGGCGACTAAGACACAAAAAGCCAAGCCGAAGTAACACTGGAGCCCCATCGCAGACAACGTGAACGGATTCTGGGAAAGGAGTGATGAAGATAGTTTGGCTGCTATCGTTGAAAGTAGCGAGCACACTGAATGCTTGACATTTCCAGTGACCCCTGGAGTGCTATTTATGGGCCGCCACGAGTGCGCTTTCGGGGTTGCAAACGGTGGTCACCTTCGAGAAGGTTATAAGCTGTTTCAGTACGGTTCCGTAAATGTAACATCGGTTGGAAGGTATTGCGCGTCAGTGAAATTTATATTTTAGTGTCACTTCACATTTCGCGCGCTCTGGGAAGGAGAATGCGGTGCCAACAGCCAGATGGACTTTGCCGATATGACAGGTCATATTTGCTGCCCATACGAATTTCAGATAGACGCACTCGGCGGGTTACCTAGCACCACCTTGTTTGCCTAATGTTTTGAGGGTCGGGAGCGAAAATAACAAAACATTTACGGGTACATGAAGGAATTCCTGGTGGAGCACTAGGGTTTGGCAAACGCCTAAGAAACAGTGCCTAATGGAGTTTCGGGTTGATGATAGAGGAAGTGAGAGCTTCTCCTTGCGATTGGGGCATTTCGGTCGAAGCATCAATTCCTAGATTTATACTGCCCTTCAGTCAATGCCTCACTCGTCGCCGCAGACCACGGAAATCAGTCACCAATTGGAGAATTTCCAGGCGAAGAAAGCGCAACGCGGCGCTATCCCCTGCAGTCACGTGCGCTCTGGCGGAATGTGCGTGCAATGCAATGCAGGTGCTGTGCCAGGAGAAGTCAGGAGAATGTTGAGGGTCCGATATCCATTTCACCGTTATAGGAACACAGCACTTCGATCACATAAATTGCCTTCTTTCAGTTCTCTTATAGTTACCCCTACACTGACCAAAGACTAATCTTTGATCCTTGTTTGAACGAGCTCTTCGGGTATGCGCAAGCTGCAGGTGACAACCAGCTTACAGCTTTCAACTTTCACCTTGCAGCGCACCGAGCCGCCTAGTCACATTTTGTCACCTATCTATCTACAGAAATCCTCCGCAGAATCGATACTTTCGAGTGACCCCGTCACTATATAGTTGTATCGTGTGGCTGCCTTATCAAGGTGTCTCAAATTCGCGGTTTTGTTTTTGTTAGAGAAACATTTTGAAGATTTGGAATGCACAACATGATAAGTCGATCGCGTATCCCCGTGTGCCCATCTCGACTCAATCCGGCATGACAGTCGTAGCGCGCTTCGAGTCCTCGCCCAAATCGCTATGCCCGTGGGCTCCATAAGCGCCAAGACGAGCATCTCCGTCGTATCCTCACATCCCCCTCCCAATCTCCCTCCCTTCCCAACTGTAACGCTTGCGGGCTTACACGACTGGTTGAAGAGCATATGCTGCGCCTCTGAACTCCCTCGTTTTGACCCTAGCGAGGTGTTAAATCAACCGCCTCTTAATCGCCGCCAGCCGCGCTAGCAGCGATGGACTATTCGCTGCCCGCCCGTAAGCTGCTCCTCGCTGACGTCAGCGCGTACCGGATTATCCGGCGAGCGAACGGGCAACCGCTGCTGGAGGTGCGGCTTGCGGAGAGTGGAGGAAGGGGAAAGAGAGTCGGGGAAAGGGAGTAAGGGAAAGTGAGAAGCGGTGGGGGAGGATTGGGGGGGGGGAAGGGGGGATGAAGCAGAGTCGGAAGGGATTTGATGCGCCATTCGATATTTTAGGGCTCCAGGGATACAAACCTGAGAGCTTCCTTTTCACTCTATCACAGAGGGTCGCCTCCCTATCGCTGCCTGCGTCACTGCCTTCCTCTCTGCCTGCATATCTGCCTCGTGCATGCATGGCATGGCATGGCTTGGCATTGCAGGTGAACGGCACGGCACTGCAGCGCGTATGGGTGCAGGGCGTTCTTAGAAGCCCGGCTGATGCGGAGGGCCCTGCTGCGGAGGGGCGTGCTGGGGGGGCGCCTGTTGCGGTGGGGCGTGTTGCGGAAGGGGGTTTGTATCTGGACGATGGCAGTGCGGCGGTCGAGATCGTTCCTGCTAAAGGGGGGTCGCCTCCGCTTGTCGGTGCGTGATGTGATTCTAACGGGCGGGACTGTAGGGGATGAGAGTTGATTGGTGCATGGTGGAAAACGGGAAGTGTGATTGTAAGTGTGATTGGCTGAGGCCATGTAAGTGTGGTTGGTGTGGCTTGTACTTTCCACGTTGTGCCCTTTGATCCCCCTTGCCTAGCTTGCACAGTGCGAGTGGCAGTAGGGGAGGCCTGGGTGCACGAGGGCTGGGCAGCATGCATGTGAGTTGAGGGCTGGTTGCAGTCGCAGTGCGTATTGGCGCGTTGAGAGGGTAGCTGTAGTTTGTAAGTGACGGCTGGGGGGCAACTGTATTGGGTGATGGTGGGGGGGGTGACTGACTGGTAGGTTGGAAACTTCAAAGGAGATAGCAGCCACGAGTGTTCATGAGGGAGTGGGCTTGACTTTGTGCATCCCTGATTACACCTCTGATTGTGTGCTCGTCCGTGTCCTGTGCCTTTCTGTTTGTGCGCCCATGTGCCTTGTTCGTATGCATGCACATGACTGTAAATGTGTGTGTCTCTCTATGCGTACATGCATATGCGCACACACACACATGAGCAGGGTCGTACGTGCAAGTCATAGGTGCCCTCTGCACCCGCCCTGCCAGCCCACCATTCATCAAGGTGACCCCACTGCACGCTCTTTCACTGCACGCCCTTTCACTGCACAGCACCACTCACGGGCGTGTCATTCGTGTGCCCCCGTGGCCCTTCACTTCCCTCAATGAACCCTTATCCACCACTAGGGTGCAGTCCTTGCCTTGCCGCTACACGCACCGAGCGTGCACCTGTCACCGCCTGTCGCCCGCACCACTGCTTGCACTGTCAGCACCGGTTCTTGTTGCCCAGCAATCGTCAACTGCCCACCACATCCCCCCTTCCCCCCTCTTCTTCCCTCTGCCTTTATCCGCCCCTCCCCCCTCTCTCCCTCTCCCCCCTCTCCCCCTCTCCCCCTCTCCCCATCTCCCCCTCTCCCCCTCTCCCCCTCTCCCCCTCTCCCCCTCTCCCCCTCTCCCCCCTCTCCCCCTCTCCCCCCTCTCCCCCTCTCCCCCTCTCCCCCTCTCCCCCTCTCCCCCTCTCCCCCCTCTCCCCCTCTCCCCCTCTCCCCCTCTCCCCCTCTCCCCCTCTCCCCCTCTCCCCCTCTCCCCCTCTCCCCCTCTCCCCCTCTCCCCCTCTCCCCCCTCTCCCTCCTCTCCCCCTCTCCCCCTCTCCCCCCCCCTCCCCCCCCCTCCCCCTCTCCCCCTCTCCCCCTCTCCCCCCTCTCCCCCCTCTCCCCCCTCTCCCCCCTCTCCCCCTCTCCCCCTCTCCCCCTCTCCCCCTCTCCCCCTCTCCCCCTCTCCCCCTCTCCCCCTCTCCCCCTCTCCCCCTCTCCCCCTCTCCCCCTCTCCCTCTCTCCCCCTCTCCCCCTCTCCCCCTCTCCCTCTCTCCCCCTGTCCCCCTCTCCCCCCTGCGCCCAGGTGCACAAGATCGTGGGCATCGCGGCAGGCCCCAACAGAGAGGCCCTGATGACGTTTGAGTTGACTCAAGGTCACTTGTTGTGTCGACTCAAAGTCACCTCCGCTCGCGCCAAGCTGGTGGACCTGACAGCAGCAGACCTCAATAGGGAGTCTCCCTGCGGCACGTGGAGGTGATAGGAGCGCATGTCAGGTCAGGTCACGACCCAAGCCACACGCTTGACCCAGTGACTGCTCCCCTCTCTCCCCTCTTTCCTCTCTCCCCAGGTGCACAAGCTGGCGGACTTGTCAGCAGACCCCAACAGGGAGTCCCTGTGGCATCTGGAGGTGATGGAAGCGCACATGAGGGCACGAGCCAAGACACGCACGTGACCCAGTGACGCCAGCAGAGATTCCCCGTGGTAGATAGAGTTGATTGCAACAATTGTGGCTCGTGCTGACAAGGATACGGGCGGACGTGAGGCCCAAGCGCCGGTGGCTCATGCAAAGCGAGTCAGGGTGTTGCCAGGCACAACTGCGGTGCTGTGACGACCACAATGGTCGTCCGTTCTGTACACATCCTACCGTCAGCAGCAGCTGTCACACTCAAATAAGGACCTTTGTCTTTAACACTTGTACTCATATGTTTTCTTACTGCTGTATTTCAGGGTGTGGCCGCACTTAATCCTGTAGGCATTAAATAACCCCAATTATACTCAATCTGTTCTGTTGTTGCACATTACCGTACCACTTTCGGCTGCAAGAATATTAACCACTAAGAGCACAAAGCATTCAGCAGCTCATGTCGAGACTGCAGCGCACCACACATGTTACACTCCATGTCATCTGCCACCTCATACTCCCCTCCACCCTCACCCCCCCCTCCCCCCCTTCCACCCATCCACCTCCCTGGCTTGGCTGCCATGGTGCCGCCACACCCCTCCATGGCACACAGGTGCTTCATGAAGAACAGTGCGTGCGCCAGCTCAGCATCTGACACGTCAGCAGTCTGCCCATCCTCGTCCTCGTCACTGTCATCCCCGTCAGCAGCATCATCTGCCTCGTCAGCATCCACTGCTGCTTTCCCTTTGCCCTTCCCATCTGCTACTCCCTTCCCTGCCACTCTCTCCCCTTCCCCACCTTCCTCCTCCCCCCCATCCGAATCAACTGGTTCTTCCTTCTCTTCCTCTCCATCGCTCCCTGCCTCGCCCTCCTCATCCTCCCCTTCCTCGTCCTCCTCACTCTCATCACCACCTATCCGTCGCTCCAGCTCACACCGCTCACAACCGCACTCAAACCCGTACTCCTCTTTCACCCGGGCACTCCTCTCCCCCAGGCGCCAGCCCAGGGGGAAGTACGACACCACCACCTCCTCTCCTTCCTCCAGGTCCCTCATCGCCCGCAGCTGCATGTGCGTGCTGCTGCTGAACCCCCCGCTGGCATTGGCGGCAATGCTGCTGCTGGTGCTGGTGGGGAGTGCAGCGGCAGGCAGCGAGGAGTCAAAATAATCAAACCTGCGGAGCAAGGGAGGCCAGAGAGCGGGGACAAGAGGGCGAGGGAGGTCACTGGTTGCTTTGAGAGCCCTTGTGTGTTAGGCGAGGAGTCAAAGTGAAACACACAGCGCAACAGAGGCAGAAAGCGAGCATGAGAGCAGGGGGGCTAGAAAGGAAACGCAAGAGGGCGCGGGGACGGAAGAGGGAGAGGAGAAGGGGCCAAGGCTTGGAATCGCTTGTGTGCGAAGGCAACAGTGGCGCATTGAAGGAGCAAATCAATGAGAAGTGAGACCACGGGTGGAGAGAGCACAGCAAAGTGACGTGGGATTACAAGTGAGACCACAGATGGGAGTCGCACCTGCAGGCATTGGGGTAGCACGAGTGGTTGGCCAGCGAGGCAGCGCCGTACACGGCATACCCCCTCACAGCCCTCTCCCCCCCCGGGCTGAACGGCGCCATCACTCCAAAGCTGTTGCGCGTGTCTCGAGCCAGCAGCGCCCGCGTGACCTCCCACGAAGGAGCGCTTATGGTGGATCCTTCATGTGCGCCCTCGCTAGTGCCATCCCGAGTGGTGGTTTCACTAGAGCCTGCAGCGGCAAGCACTGTGGGCCCAGCAGGCCAGGTCCAGTCGTGCGTCACTCGCAGCACTGCTTTGTGAACCCGCTTTGCTCGCGCCCTCTCCTCCTCCTTGCTCTCCGCGTCCCCTTCCGCCCCAACCGCTTCTGCACTGCTGCTGCCAGCACTAGCGCCATCAGCAGCAGCAGCAGCAGCAGCAGAAGCTGCATTGGTTCCATCCTTGCTCCTCTCTCCATCCCCATCCCCGCCTCTCCCGCCCTCCCCCTCGTCTCCACCATCCAGCGCCATCAGCAGCGCAAAGAAATCGTTCCACCCCCTCCTCCCGCCGTCCCCCCCTGCCCCTCCCTCTGCCTCCTCCCCTCCCCTCCCAGCCTCCCCCTTAGTGCCCCGTCCGCCGCCTGCTCTCTGCGCCAATTCCTCCCCCCATACTGCCTCCGCCAAAGGGGGAAGCGCGCGCGGATGCACCAGCAGGTCGTACGCAGCCAATAGGAAGCGGACAGCTGTCCTGTCCTCGCTGCTCAGCAGCGCTGCTTCGCTGTCAGCTTCACCACCAGCTGACGTGTCATCTGGCGTCTCCCCGTTGATTGGCTGTGGTGCGGATGGTTCACCACCAGCGGAAGCTGACGTGGCGGAGCGCGGGGGAAGGAGGGAGAGCGCGCGGCAGAGGAAGGGGGTGTGTGTGGCCGCTTGTGATTGGTCGAGGCAAGCGGGGGAGCAGAAGGAGCAGATGCGGCAGTGGGGGCAGCGCAGGGGAATGGCGGAGGGGAGGGGGGAGGGCGGGGCGGCGGCATCCGCGGGGCTGGTGGCGGTGGGGAGGCACCTGCGGGATGTCATTGGGGAGGGGAAGGAGGGAAAGAGGGGAGGAAGGGGAGGAGGGGAGTGTGGAGTAAGCGGTGAGCGCAAGTGATGGGCGGGTGGAAGCAGGGAGTTGGACGCCAAGTCGGCGAATGCTGGCACTCTCTTGCGCGGCCAAGAGTGGCGATGCGCGACGAGGCGCGGTGTGGTGCCGGGATCACACGAGTCAGTAGGGCCGCACTGCTCACCGCAAGCAGGGCTCACCGTAGGCAGTGCGAGCAGTAGTGGTCGCACACATCGTCGTCGACGTATAGCAGCAGAGGCGCCTCGTCCAGCAGCACCTCGCCCTCTCGCACGGCCCGTCGCACGGCCAATCCGCGACCGCGCGGGCCGCGAACGAGTTGCAGCATGCTGAACGATAAGAATGGGCGGACGTGAATCGGCGGAACCACAGAGGAACGGGCGCTGTAGCCAGACGTCGCACGCGGAGAGGACGTCAACGACTTGGCGAAACGCGCGATTGAGGATAGCCAATGCCCTTGATCCTAACGCTGAAAGAGAAGCACGTTCTCTCGAGTGAATTCCACTTCTTGCTGAGGCATACGGTATTCCTGTTGCTAGGGAAGGCTGCTGCGCGATGTGGCTGGGATTTCGGGTTTCTGTTCTATACTCCATGATTTGGGAATTTTATTGCGGACTGACTGTATCTGAGTCGACAAGACTGTATCTGCATGAATCAGAACCAATAATAGTACTACCAGTAAGCAAGCACAAATTGTTTTCATGCACCTTTTAGAATTATTACAGGTGTTGGAAACAAGCAACTTAACGCTTCTGATGTGTCGTAACACCGAATTACAAACGAGGCGAACTACAGAGGAACAACGGTGAGTCAACTGTCGGAGGTTGACAAGTGAAGTAACCGCTGGAGGTTACGCGAAGGTCAAAGGTCAGCAACCTTTGACTTGACAAATACAGCGCGACAGCAAGGACAAACAACTGACTCGGTACGGTACTGAGCAGTTGCCCGAGTCGTCACTGTATCGAACCGCAACAGCAACAATAAAATAGTTATTAGCTGTATCTTTTCATATTCCTTGTACTCTTATAAAACCTTGTATCTTCTTGCTTTAATCAATCTACTTTGCCCTCACACACTAGCGCAAGGTGGTTCAACACTTCATCATTAAACGCTTCCGCAATACAACATTTCTATCAGAGTCTTAGCCTTGAAAGATCCTAAGGGCTTTTCTCAGCCCAACATGGTATGAGAGCAGACAAGGCAAAACTCCATTTCGTTTAAACTCTTACAACATCAGAAAGCATGGCAACGCAGAAGGAGAGAAGCTCCTCCAACGGCTCTCCTGGCACTACTCCTACTCCACCTCCAGCCTCCGGCCTCCAGACAGAGGGAGGAACAGCAACAAGACCAGCTGCTGAATCTACTGAGACTCCCGCGAACCAAGCGACAGGCTTTGACCCAAGTATGATGGAGAAATTCTTCTCCTTCATGTCCTTCTACGAACAGCATCAGCAAGCGGCACCTGCGCAGTCAAACATCAGCAACAACAACAACGATGTTACACCCATGAGTCTCGATGGCTCATCCTATGCGCGCGGAAACCAGCAGCAACCCACCTTTGCCCCGTACGAGGCTCAACGCGGCTCAATCAGCTTCATGCCGCAACAACAGCCTCGACCTGGACAGGAGAAGACACTGGATGCACTTCAAGTTCAATCACAATTCGCGCACGTCTTGAAACTACAGACATCGACACCTTTCGATGGCAAGGATTTTTATACCTGGTCATTTGAGTTTGAGCTGATGATGGAAGGCGCGCAGATTCTTGGGTTCTTCGACGGATCCCTGCCATACCCAAACAACAATACACATATCAGTCGATGATGGCGTACACGATCCTGCTGAGGAACATAACTCGAAACCAGCAGCAGAACATCCGATCTTATCGGGGATATGGCAACTCCGCCGAACTCGCGTACAACCACTTGAAGAACCTGTACCAAGCAACAGACAGCGTCAATCAGAGCCGGTTAATGGCACAGCTGACAACAGTGGAAATGAAACCCGGCGAAAATTGGATGGCGTATATCAGCCGCTGTCGCGAATTGCGCGACAAACTCCTTCGATGCGGAGGATCGATATCTGAAGAAGCCTTCGTCACAGTCGTCATCACCGTCCTTGGTCCTCATTGGCGCTCCACTCGAGCCATACTTCGAGCTCACGGGAAGATCTCCGAGGCGGCACTCTGCGCCGAAATACACGCTGAACAACAAGACATGGACCTGCACGAGGAGCGGCACAAGAAGAAAACGTCAGTACCCGAATTTGCATTCCACACTCAACGGCGCTTCAACAACTCCAACCGACAAAATAAACAACAACAGCAACAGCACGTACCGCCGTTCTGTCATCTCTGCAAAACGTCAGGACACCCTCGGACACATTGCCCAAATCTGCAACAGTCAAAGACACCACAGCGACAACTTCGGCCCTCAAGCAGTCAAGTGGCCTCCACTCAGGCGCACCCCACCAGTCAACCGCAGTCCTCGACAACATCAACGACGCATTCTGCACAAGGAACAAGAAACATCGTCAGGTGCATGGCAAGGACAACTGACTCTTGCATCACCGGATCACCACCATACTACTCACCAGAAGAACAACTCAACGACAGCACCCCTCGCCGCGAATCACTGGAACCGAACCCGACATACGCAGCCATCGCCCAGAGCGAGCCGTCCGGGAAGGACACCTGGTTCTTGGACAGCTGCTGCGGACAGCACATGTGCTCCTCGGGTCGCTTCGTTCAGCGGGAACACCAACTGCAGCGTGAAGTCGTCATCACCGTCGCCAACAATCAGAATCTGCGCACACGACGACAAGGCATTGTTCAACTTCAGTCAAGGGAGACCAATGTCGTACTACAAATGTCCAAGGTTTTAAATGCCGAGGGACTCGGGTACAACTTACTCAGCGTCAGTCAACTGATGGCGAAAGGTATTCACCTCGAAGCAGACAGCACCACTCAGGAGTTCAAACTGTACCACGGAAGAGGCGGACTATACATCGGCAAGGCAGTACTGAAGAACAACGTCTTCGTCCTCGACTTTGTTCCAGATCAAGGCACCGCTGACAGCGACGCTATCGTCAACTTCACCTCTTGAACACATCCGCCAGATCTTGACCCCGACTTCAGTCCTGGAGGCTTCTGGTATTCACACACTATACCTGAAGCAAAACGAACACGAGCATTAGCGACAATCCAACAAGCAGCAGAGACAGCATCGGCAGCAGCAGAGACAACATCGGCAGCAGCAGAAACAACATCGGCAGCAGCAGAGACAACATCGGCAGCAGCAGAGACAACACCAATCGCGGGTCCTTCAACGGCACCAGCTCCAATCGACGACACTCCACCGACTCCTGCGCAGCAGTTGACTCCTACTCCACGAGAAGTCCACAGAAGCGCCAACTTCACCGCTGGTTTTTACTCCAACTCCGACTTATACAGGCGCTCACCCGGACATCGCGCCGGCGAAGACATCTGGCACGCAAGAATGGGACACCCGAGCAACACGGCGTTAAATAACACGATAAGAGCAGGGGTACTCGATAAAGACTCGCTACTCCTACCCGATGGCAGAGAACTCCAACGAGTTCGAGGAACATGCTTCACCTGCCCTGAAGCCGACTTACCGCATCAGCCGTTCATCTCTCACCACAACCCAAGTGCGCCGGCATATACACCTCTGGAGAAGGTGTACAGCGACATACTGTACAACCGCGAACCCGGACAAGGAGCGTACAACTACGTCATCACGTTCATCGACGCCGCTACCCGCTACGTCTGGCACCTCAACCTTCCGAGCCGCGACATGGCCTTCGAAGCCTTCGTCGCCTGGCTTCCAGTAGCAGAACGAGAATCAGGAGTGAAGCTAAAAAGCTTCCAGTCAGACGGGGGAGGAGAATATCAGTCCCAGAGGTTCAAGGACTACCTGGCAGAACGAGGCATCAAAAGACTCATCTCCCTTCCCTACGCTCAACAGCAAGGCGTAGCAGAAAGGATGAATAGGACCCTCCAGAACACCATGCGCAAACTGCTACGTGGCATGCGGCTACCCAACCACCAGTGGCCCGAGGCGATGGACCACGCTGTCATGCTGCACAACTTGCTTTCGTCATCATCGCTCCCGAACAACGCATCACCGTATCTGCTGTGGACAGGAAAATTGGGCAACACAAAAATGTTACGAGTGTTCGGCTGCATGGTACAGTACCGACCCCCAGCTGCACGCGCCGGTCGATTCTCCCAACGCGCACAATGGGGACTACACCTGGGCATCGAAAAACACTACAACGCATGGAAGATCTTCGACGTCCACACAAAGGAAACAGTATCAGCACGTGACGTGATCTTCTACGAACGGCTCACACTTCCAACGTAACTGTACAACTTGGAAACTTCACGTGACGTCACAGGCGGATTTCGTGGGGACCGAGCCTTCGCCTCGGCAGCAGATGAAGCTGACTTGGACGAGCAGAACGTGGACAGAGCTTCGGAAGAAGCCGTACCTCTTCCCTACTGCTCGGTGGACGTTCCAATGGACGACGATAACCCTCGCGAAAGCATCAACGCCGAAGTCTTCTACGACTTCGCTGACAATGGTTACGTTACCCCCGCACGAGTCAACACCGACGAAGCAGAACGCGTAGGACACAATTTCTTACCTGATCCATAAGCAGGAGACGAAGCAGCTTCTCCCGAGGACGCAAATCTTCCTCGCTACACACAGAGTGGGCTGCAGATACTGGGACTCGTTACCGCCGTCCACGGAGCAGCGCCACCTAAGGAGCCTGCCACAGTACAGCAGGCTCTGGGGGGGGAACACAGGGGAAAATGGCGCGAAGCCATGGACAGGGAGTTAAAGGCGCTGGAAGAACGCAACACCTGGAAGGTCGTACCTATCGGGGTGGCACGGAACAAGACCATTCTCACTGGAAAATGGGTTTTTTGGGTGAAAACAAAGGCAAACGGAACCATCGACAAATTCAAGGCGCGCTGGGTCGTACGTGGTTTCGACCAAGAGCACGGACGAGACTTCACCGAAACATTCGCACCTGTTAGTCGGCACACCTCACTGCGGATTCTCCTCGCGATAGCCGCCATGAAGCGGAAGAAACTTCGTCAAATCGACGTCGCTAATGCCTTTCTCTACGCACCCGTCGACGCTGAAATCTTCGTTGAGCAACCGCACGGCTCCAACGCAGACCCCAATCAAGTCTGTCAGCTACTGAAGTCCCTGTACGGCATCAAACAGGCCCCCAGATTGTGGCAACAGTACCTACACGCCCGTCTAATCCGCATCGGATTCAGGCAACTACCGCACG